TTCTCTATATATATATATATATATATATATATATATATATTTTTTTTAAAAAAAAACTTTTCAAATGTACAACTTTTAAATGTATGAAAGAAACATCAAATTTTCAAAAGTATAGATATCTTTAACAGAGGTTTTAATATTGGATATTTTAACATTTGATATGGAAGATGAGTTTACCCTCCTATTTTGGTCAGGTAAATGCATAGATTTTGAAATGCTTGCAAGAGAAACCAGCAAACAAATCTCATATTCAGTCACTTTTTTAAGCTTTTGTATATTTTATACACCGTAATACAACATAATTTGATTGTATAAACAGGAAAGATTTTGTTTGTCATATTCTTTGCAAACTATTCGTTCATATTTTTCACTGTCTCATCTTTTCGACATTTTTTTTTTCGAAGAGTGGCATATAGTTTAATATATATAAAGCAAAAAATAAAGTTACGATCTTTTTAGAGTTTTGCTGATACGTTTGGTACGTATTGTAGCCTGGTTCTTAGCATTCGAAATAATATTACATTTTATCCACGTTCATGCAGTTCTCGCCATCAGCCCAGCTTTATTTAATACTCTCAATGAATATGAGTGTAAGTTCCATGTGAAACTCAGTTTTGCATTTGTTAACTAGAAATTAGACCAGTGGGTGAATTACGAAGTACAAACATGCAATTATCATTCTTATTTTAAATTATCTATTATTTTACTTTATTATTTTAAATTATCGTTACCATGATTATTTTATTATGGTAATTGCCATAATAAAATAATAAAATATTATGGTCATTGCCACTGCTACTATTGTTTTTATTGTAATAATAATGATTACTGCAATATAATTATTATATTGCTGTAACTACGAACATAATTACAAATCGTTACTATTACAATTAGTTATCAATATATTGCAGTAGCGAGTATATCATATGTAAACGGCAAATTGTTTTATATAAAATACTTGTTGATATTCGGGATTCCATCTTGGTTCGCTTTGGCCGATGGTATGAAACCTCCAGCGGGACCCGTTTGCATATCTCGTATCAGCAAATACTCACAGATGTGGCGCAGTTTCGATAGGGGCCTTTACATATTCCTCAAAAAACAGGTTTGCTTTGATCCAATTTCAGCATTTCATAGCCGTTAGAGGAGAGATCCATATCGAGCTTTAGATACAGTACTTACATTCTTGACGAAAACAATCTTATTACTTTTTTCGAATGAGTTTCACTGTTTCAGTTATATATGCCAGTATCAGGTGATCCTAGCAGCAAATACTTTTCACTACGTCGTTTCGCAGCATTGGGAACTGTATTTCTCTTTGTACTTGCTTGGCACGGAATCTCGTCAAATTATTTTTACTGGGTTTTACTTAACAGTCTTGAAATATCCATAGAGTGGTTTGGAGTATCAGTATCCAAAACTGCTTTCTATAGCAAGATCCGAAACTTCCTGGGGCCGAGAGGAGAACGACGGCTTATCGCATTTTTGATGATAACTACTGCTGTGCCCGGTAAATTTCTTTTCCATATTCGATGGTGGCACACCATTCGAATTGCTTTTAATGAAAATAAAATTGAACGCTATCCAGAAATCTAAAACTGGAGAATAATCTGAAACGAATTTATGAACATACCAACAGTTTGAACAAAAATTGACTACTGCTAAATATGCTTTACTTAGCAATATTTGTAACGTAAAACCGGAATAGAATTTACAATTTAAACCAGGGCAGAACAAATAGGAAATTAAGAATCCATTAATGAGTCAAATTAGTGGTTTTCAAATGCGCTGCAAAAATAGTGCAGGAATTGCACAACTGCAAATTTAATTCCAGGAATCTTTGGTGTATTTTTCTTTCTCAGTCGAAAAGAAATCGGAATTATTATTTTTAAACGGTTGTTTATCAATTTAGTTGGTACAGTCATGCAATTCACCCTGAATTTACCAAACAGGTAACGTTCAGTATTTTTTCCAAATAGAACAACAAAAAAAGCAAGTCCCCAGCAAAACTATATATTTTTTCAGCAAGCGGCCGCTAGATATCACCCCAAATCCTGAACTTTTCTTGACCAAACAAAAGATGGAACGGATTTGCAGCTACATAAACAAAAGAAAACTTGAATTGCACAATAATTTAAAGTACACCTTAGGAACCGATTTCAGGTCACTTTATTATTATGCGATCTTTGCGCACTTCATAGTACTTGGATATTGCTTTAACCATGTTTGCCTTGAGCTCGAAAAATACTATACCGTCAAACAAGTTTCGGGAGATGAAGTTAAACGAAAAATACTGTAAACCAGTCGAAATTCGGTGATAAATACATATCGAATACGAATATAATAATCCTCTGCAGACAACATGAGGGAAACATTTGAGAAACTTTGCAGTGTCGCGACATTTACGATCGAATCAAACAACCATTTTATAATTTTTCGCCGATATTTGAATGATAAATATGTAAAGGGAGTGGGATAAATAAAATTATTTTTGAAGCTAGCTTTAATGTATAGAAACAGCAACGGTATGTCGGGGACACAATACATCAAAGCAGCTCTTCAGATGGGACGAATCACATACGTTGTCTCACATTTCTGCGTATACTTTGTATTAATTAATAACTGTAACCAATAGTATACGGATCAGTTAATGTAATACTAGAAGGGAGAGGGAGTCAAAGGTCCAACTAGACAGCAAACTATCTGAATACACTATAGACCAGCGGTGGGCAATTAATTTTTTCAGGGGGGCACATGAGAAACTGGAATGGTTTTGGAGGGCTGGACTAATATATTTAACTCAGTTCTACCCAATATCGTATCCGTATACGTACATATACATATATATATATATATATATATATATATATATATATATATATATATATATATAATATATATA